GATGGTAACTACCGGGGATAACACAACCTATTTAAGTGAACGAACGCGGTTGAGTTCACTACTTAGTCTAGTCTATTTTTCTAATTCGTAAAGTGGCTGATTGTATTAAATCTAAGAAGCATTTTCTAGACTGTACAAGAAGTCAGGTCTAATCGTAGAGCGTCTCGCGGTTAGATTAAAAATAAAGAAAAATTCGGGTAACAGACCGTGTCGTTGCCTAGGGCTTGTAATTTCATAAGAGAGCGAGATTTGATACCAAAGTTGATTAGACGAGTCGGTCGAGGGTGTAGCCAGAACCGTGAACTAGAATTTTTTCTTAATTTATTTATTTTATTTTTATTTCCTTGCTTTATATTTTTAGGATTTTAGTTAGTTTAGTTATTAATTCAAATCCCCCCCATATTTTATCACTTCTTAAGTTCAATTAATACGAGAAAATTCACAATTTAATTCACACTCCTTGTGGGTTCGACCCTTGCTCACCACTACTACTAGTTTGTAGAGGTTGGTTAAGGAAAATATAAATTATAATTTTGCCGCGTTGCGACGCGTGGTCAACTGAGATCAAGGGGTGTCTTACACCTAGACTGTGCACCGTCATAGGTATCAAATTTCTTGAGCACTTTCTCTACATAATGAGATTGTGACAAGACAATTCCATCTTGGGTTCTGATAATCCTTATTCCAAGAATAACATCAGCCAAACCCATACCTTTCATGTCGAAATTTCTCTTCAACATTCTTTTCGTATCCATGATCACTTCATGGCTACTCCCCATGATCAACATATCATCTACATATAGACATACAATCACAGATGTATTTGATGTACTCTTAACATAAACACATTTATCACATTCGTTGATTTTGAAATCATTTGTCAACATCACGTCATCAAATTTCAAATGCCATTGTTTCGGAGCTTGTTTCAGTCCGTACAAGGATTTGATCAATCTACACACCTTTATCTCTTGTCCAGGTGCAACAAACCCTTCAGGTTGTTCCATGTATATTTCTTCTTCCAATTCACCATTCAAAAATTCCGTTTTGACATCCATTTGGTGAATCTCAAGATTGTGCAAAACAGCAATTGAGAGAAGCACTCTTATCAACGCTAAACGCGTAACTGGTGAATAGGTATCAAAGAAATCATACCCTTCCTTTTGTTTGAAGCCTTTGACCACCAAACGTGCTTTAAACTTATCAATCGATCCATCAGCTTTATATTTCTTCTTTAGGATCCACTTGCATCCTAAGGTTTACAACCATCAGGGAGATCAACCAACTCCCAAGTATGATTTTGCATAATGGACTCGATTTCGCTATTTACAGCTTCTTCCCAGAGTGGTCCATCTGGGCTGGACAGAGCTTCCTTAAGGGAACTCGGTTCATCGTCTAACATGTACGTAATAAAATCAGGTCCAAACGTTTTAGCCGTTTTTACCCTTTTACTACGTCTCGGTTCTTCATCAGTACCCTCTGGTACAGAACCACTAGCAGTTTCATACGTTCTATTATTAGAACTAGATTCTGCCCTTTCCTTCATAAGAAAAACATTCTCAAAGAATATGCATTCCTTGACTCAATTGTGGTACCAATAGATACCTATGGATTTTCTGATTTATGAACCAGAAATCTATATGTTGTACTATTGTACGCATATCCAATAAATACACAATCGACCATCTTTGGCCCGATTCTCATTTGTTTTGATTCAGGTACTGAATCCTTAGCCAAACACCCCCACACTTTCAGGTATTTATAAGACAACTTACGATTTTTCCACATTTCGTAAGGAGTCTCATCTTTCCCTTTAGGTGGTATTTTATTCAGGATATGATTTGCTGTCAAAACAGCATCCCCCCACATGTTCTGTGGTAATCCTGAGTTAATCAACATGGCATTCATCATTTCTTTTAAAGTTCGGTTTTTGCGTTCAGCAACACCGTCCGACTGTAGAGAATAAGAGGCTGTCATTTGATAAATTATGCCATATTCAGAACATATTTATTCAAAAGGAGCTACATACTCCCCACCCCTATCACTTCGGATTATTTTAATCATTTTGTCGAGTTGATTTTCAACTTCAGTCTTATATATCTTAAACGCTTCCAAAGCCTCATCTTTGCTTCTTAACAAATATAAGTAGCAAAATCTTGTGCAATCATCGATAAAAGTTATAAAATACTTTATACCGATTCTTGTTTGCACACTTTTCATATCACATACATCAGTATGGATCAAGCCCAATTGTTCAGTACTCCTTTCCACCGAATGAAAAGGCAACTTAGCCATTTTTTCTTCAATACAAATTTCACATTTTGTATTTGTTTCAACATTAGAATTAGGAATTAATTCTAATTTCATCAACCATTTAATTGCATTTAGATTTACATGTCCCAATCTAATATGCCACATATCAGAACACTCAACGGTATAAACAAAAATAGGCTTTTTATTATTAACGGTTACACGGCTCACGGCCATTACATTCATTTTGAACAAACCCTTGTCGAGATAACCACGACCAAGGAATATTCTATATTTGCTAAGAATAAACTTCTTAGCTTCAAACACTAGCTTAAATCCATGCTCAACAAGAAGTGATCCGGAGACCAAATTCTTACGGATGTCTGGGACATGCAGAACATCCTTTAGCTTCAACTCCTTTCCAGAAGTGAGCTTCAGCACCACAGTGCCCACTCCAGCCACATCAGACGTGGAGGAGTTTCCCATGTGAAGTTTTCGACCCGTAGCAGGAGTGTATTCAGAGAACACCTCCTTGTCGGAACACACATGACGAGTGGCACCAATATCTATGTACCACTTCCTTGGGTTATCCACCAAATTGGCTTCAAATACCACAGTCGACATATCAAAGTCGGTCAGTTCACCCACCACAGGGCCATGTTCAGCAACAAGGGCACTCGGTTGCCCTTTATTTGGCCCAGCTTTCTTTGGCCTCTTGCAGTCTTTCGCCATATGGTTTGGCTTTCCACAGTTGTAACAAGTTCCAGTGAATTTCCAAACCTTGGCGGGCTGCTTCCCTTTGTTAAGGGGCTTCCTTTTGCTCGAATTTCCTTGCTCCAGCAAGTTCGCACGAGCCTCCATTATCAGGCTTTTGCCCGACGAATTACGGTTGTCCTCCTCAATACGAAGACGAACAACCAGGTCTTCAAGACTCATCTCCTTTCTCTTGTGTTTGAGATAGTTCTTGAAGTCCTTCCAGCCTGGCGGCAACTTCTCGATCACAGCCGCTACTTGGAATGACTCGCTCAAAGTCATCCCTTCAGAATGGATATCGTGCAAGATCAGCTGGAACTCTTGCACTTGTGACACGACAGTCTTCGTGTCAACCATCTTGAAGTCAAGAAATTTGCCGACGACGAATTTCTTCGCCCCGGCATCCTCCGTCTTGTACTTCTTCTCCAAGGCAGCCCAAAGTTCCTTGGCAGAACCAACAGAGCTGTACACATTGTACAACTCGTTACTAAGTCCATTCAGGACATAGTTCCGACAAAGGTAGTCACCTTGCCCCCAAGCATCGTACGCAGCGCGTAGTTCAACATTTGTCTCATTTTCAGAAATGACCGGAGGGTCGTCCTTCAGGTATTTCACCAAACCCAAAGTGGTCTGGTAAAAATGCATCTTCTGTTGCCATCTCTTAAAGTCAAGCCCGTTGAATTTTTCAGGCTTTTCAGCTGTAGGAACATGGACAGCAGGTACATGATTGATCGGATGCTGAGAGCTGGAACCTGCTCCGGTGGATGCCATCAGTTCAGTAGGATGACGGAATATTCTTCTTGCGATTGTTGGAAATTTGGTGTAAAATACACGGGAATCTTACGAACTGATATGTAATTTCAGTTCTTACAAATAATCTAAAAATAAAAAATTACAATTGAACTGAAAAATAAATTACAACTGAAAAACGGAAAGAATTTAGCCGAGGCGAGTAAAACTCTTTTCGCAAGAAGAATACGCCCCGTGTGTCAGCTAACGGTTCAGGCGTAACTTCCCCAAAGATACAACGGCAAACGTCAACATGAACAGAATCGAGAATTGAGCACTTAGTAATAAAAGGAATATCTTGAAACAAATAAAAATATCACTTGTTTTTTCTCTTTTGATATTTTTTATATCCGATATTTGGACATAAATCTATATTTCTTTCCTTTCTCTTTCTTTCCCCTCTTTTTCTCTTCTGTTTGGTTCTTATTTTCGGTACTCTTTTTCTCCAATCTGACAAAGACCTTTTATAAGTACAAATTTGCAAGGGATAGAGCAATTTGGCCAATTGAATATCATTTACAAGCATTTGATTGCCAAGTTGTGGATTCCTCCACATGATTACAACTAACATAATCAGTGGCCAATTGAATATCATTTACAAGATCTGATTGCCAAGCTGTGGATTCCTCCACATGATTACAACTAACATACTCAATAATTAGTGCATTATACACTATTAATTATAGATATAATATAATTAAATGATGGACCCATTTTACACTCATATTTTTTTCTAACATACAAAACCCAGGACCGACCTGACAGGGTTTAGGGTCTGGTTCATAAACCAACATATCCAGGTCGGGTCGACCCTTTGTCATCTCTAACCGAAATCGACTTTTGTTTTGCCCACGTCTACACACGGGCTATGTAAGAGTGCTCCTAATAAAGAATTCACATTCGTAATATCCGTAGGTCCGCAGCATCCTTCAAAACTTTTCGTGTAACCTGTCATCCTATGTAGTCCCCACTCTCTACTCACATGACCACACCAAAATTCCCTACATTTTCTTCCCCATTTCTAGAGAGAGAAACAAAACCCCATTCTGACCCAGACATTTTCTGTTTCCTCTCTCCTGCAGTGGCGAGGGCTTTTGGCAGATCGATTAACTTGTGGGGTTTTGTTTTCGAATTGTTTTTTTTTTTTTTTTCCTCGATTCGGTTTCGCTTCTTTCGTGTTTTCTTTTGAACTCATGTGAAACTGAGCAATGGAGTATGTGGGCAGACAGGTGAAGAAGGAGTTCCAAGGCCACGTGACGAACTTCGGTTTGGTTCAGGCGTACGAACCGGCAACTGGGGTTTTCAAGATCGTGTACGACGGTGGAGTTTCTGAAGAATTGGAGCTCGCCGACGTTTCTTCTCTCATGCTGTCCACCGAGTCTCCACCTCCTCCGCCGTCTGGGGCTCCGATCAGGAAACGAGGCCGCCCAAAAAAGCGACGCTGCATTGTGAATGAAGGTATGGATAACTGTAATCCCGAAATTGAGAGTGGGGTTGGTGAGAATTTGTTGGCTAGAGAGGCGGGCTCCGGGGTTTTTGATTTGAATTCGAATAGAGGATTGGATTTGAATGTTGATGCGTTAAATGCTATCAGCAGCGAGGGAAACCTACGTGGCTTGGATTTGAACGAGGGTGTGAATTTGGAGTTGAATGAGAAGTCTTGTCTGAATAATGTCGGTTGGAATTCAGCAAAAGAAATTATTGATCTGAATTTGGATGCAAGTGAAGATTGTGAGAAATTGACTGATGGGAGAGAAGGGCATTGCTTTGACCTGAATTTACAGTTGACTGATGATGAGGTGAAGAATATGGAAGAATGTGAGCCGCTAAAGGGAGCAAATGAAAGCGTTCTTGCTGAAAGAAATATGCAAGTGAGTGCAGGTTTGTCGGAGCATGATATCAAGGAAAATGTAGTGAATATGGATAGCAAAAATCGTAGTGCGGTTATAGAGAAAAAAGAAGATAGCCCAGTGAGGAACTGTGTTTCTGGGGTCGATAATGGAAATGTGGCTGCACAAAAGAAGAAAAGGGGTAGAAAGAGAAAAGATGTTTCACTTGATAATATTGAAGTATCCACCCCAAAGCCACAAAATGGGAATGTGGAACCAGAGTTGGATAGTGTGGAAGGAACTCCACTGAAAACAGGTGATGATTTGGTTGATTATGAAAATGGAGTTTCGGGAATTGTTACTAGAGGAAGAAGAGTTAAGATAAGAAAGGTTTTAGAGAATATTGTTCCCTTGCCAACTCCATCAACAGGATTGAGAAGGAGCAGCCGTAGAGCAAAAAGAGAAACTTTGTCTGATTCGGATAAAGTCTCTAATGCAGCAGACTTTGACGACATTGATCAAAAGTTGCCTCCTCCAGCGATAAGTTTCATGTCTCAAGAAAAGAAAATGACAAAATCTCGTCGGAAAGCTCCTTGTCCTGTTATTCCGTCTCCTAAAGTGGAGCTGCCACAGTCTTCTTGCAAGCTGGACCTAGGCAGAGTCCCTGTGGTCGATTTAATTTCTGTTTATGCATTCTTGAGGTCATTTAGCACTTTGTTATTTTTAAGCCCCTTTGAATTGGACGATTTTGTGGTTAGTGTTAAATGCACAAACTCGACATTATTATTTGACTCGATTCACGTTTCCCTTCTGAGAACTTTACGGAAGCATCTTGAGTCACTCTCCAATGAAGGTTCTGTGTCGGCAATCAATTGTCTTAGGTATCAAGTTTTTCTTTCTAAAATCGTATACATTTGAAAGTCCATCTCACAATTGTCTTAGGTATCAATTTTTTCTTTCTAAAATCGTATACATTTGAAAGTCCATTTCACAGTACTTATTTACTCTCAAATTGAAAATTTTGATTCAGGTCTCTTAATTGGGATCTTCTCGACTTGATCACATGGCCGATGTTTACAGTTGAGTATCTATTACTGCACAGCCCTGGGCATATTCCTGGCTTAGATCGTTGTCACTTGAAGATTCTTCTGAATGACTATTACAAACTGCCCGTCTCAGCAAAAGTCGAGATACTGCGACATCTTTGTGATGATGTTGTTGAAGTTGAGGCAGTTAGGTTAGAACTGAGCAGAAGGACGTCGGCAACAGAATACCACATGGGTTTGGCCCGTGATGTGAAATTTGAGAGTTCTAGTAAAAGAAAGCCTGCCATGGATGTTGCTAACACGTCTTGTGTCACGGAAGAGAATGCTGAGGAACCTGCAGATTGGAATAGTGATGAATGTTGCCTTTGTAAGATGGATGGGAGCTTGATATGCTGTGATGGTTGCCCTGCAGCATTTCATTCGAGGTGTGTAGGTGTTCTCAGCAGCCTTTTACCTGAGGGAGACTGGTATTGTCCTGAATGTGCCATCGAGAAGAATAAGCCTTGGATGAAAGTGGGAAAGTCAATCCGAGGAGCACAACTTTTGGGAAGTGATATTTATGGACGGATATTTTATAGTAGCTGCGGTTACCTGTTGGTGTAAGTTTCTTTCTGTTGAGTTAGTTAAGAAAATCATGTGAATTCATTCATGTGAATGGATTAGTAATAGTTTAATGCATAGGAGATATTGCTGCGGTTGTATACTTGAAAATTTGCTATCTTCTTATATAGAGTTTCTACTTTGGTGGGGAATTTCTTGAGATTGGGGAAACAGTGTCTAGAAGGAAAGTTAACGAGCATGACCTCTGTTTAAAAATTATACATTTGTAATTTCTCTAATGCAACTCTGTCAAAAATTCTATTTAAAATGAAATTACTATAACAGATGCAAATTAAATTAACTGGACCTGAATTTGAAGCGTCTTAAAAATGTGACTTTTTTTTTTTTTTTTTTTTCTTTCTATTTTCCCGAACTATTATTACGAGAAATCAAAAAATAATTGCACCCACCATTCAGTTGAATACTCCCCCTCTTAATCCATTTTTACTCTGAATTGGCGCGATGAGCCTACACGGACATAGAGTAGTCATGTTACCTCGTTTAAATTTATTGTGCTTGTAAAAGATTATGATTCGTTTGGTTTCATAAATAAAAGAGCTCATGTAAATGTAGCTTTGTATATGACCTTCCACTTGCACTGTTTACCTTCAGGTTGGAGTCATGCAATGAAGAATATTCGTTTTGTTGCTACAATAGAAATGACTTGCCTGCCCTTATCGAAGCTCTGGAGTCAGCCCCATTTGCTTATGACTCTATTATAAGTGCGATACGTGAGCATTGGAATGTAGTTCGTGAAGAAGGTGGGCCCAAAAATGATTTTGACTCGCGTTCAAGTTCTGTAAAGTCAACTTTTCCTGAAAAAGGGCAACTGCAAAGTATAGATATGGCACCATCAGAATTTCTTAACAAGAATGAGTTTTTTGCTGAAAAGAGGTCTGATGAAAAGTCCGTGGCGAGTACTGGAACTACTTTTTCCAATAATGCAGAACTTGATAATGCAAAGAATGGAATATCCATGCTGGAGAGTGACAACAATGTATTGAAAATGGAAAATCATGTGGCAAGTTCTGAAGGGTCAAATGATGTAATGCAGACATTCTCAAATACAGATACCTCAAAGGCAAACGGTCCTCCTGATTCTTCTATAAGAGAGCCTGAAAGTAACAATTGTCATATTCTTGGGAAGCTTGTGGATGGTGGAGATCATCACATGACTTTGACCTCTGTAAATGTAGAAAAAGTGAAGAATCTTCATTCAGAAAATCATGGTTATGCACCCGACAGTATAAGCTCCGAAGTGTTGTCTCCAGTGCATTGCCGGAGGAAATATGTCAACCATTATGAGTTAGCTCGAACAGCGTCATCATTTTATGAAGAATTCACTAGTAAATCATCTGGCAAGACCTCTGAAGCTACCCTAAAAACTGTTGAAGAAATTATAGCAGGGCAGGTGAAGGTTGTATTGAACAGATTTGCCGAGTTCTCTTGGTCGAATATTCAGAAATCTAATGTCAAATCCAGGAAGGAAAGATGTGGGTGGTGCTTCTTTTGCAGGTTTCCTGAAGATGAAAGGGACTGCTTATTTATCATGAATGATGCTATTCCAGCTGTAGAGAATTTTACATGTGAGATTTTAGGAATTCAGTCTGGAGAGAGGAACAACCATATTCTTGACATCATGTGCCATATCATATGCTTGGAAGGTCATCTGCAGGGTCTTCTTTTAGGCTCATGGTTAAAGCCAAATTACTCCTTGCTATGGCGCAAAAGTGTTCTTGAAGTGGTCGATTTGGCTCCGCTCAAGATGCTGCTGCTCAAGGTAACCCTTTTTATGCCTTACTCTATTATGTAAATGTAGTAGTTGTTGAATTAATAATTTTTATCCTGTACCAGATTATGGGGTTGAAATGATATATTTGTTTAAAGGTTTGAGGAAAGTAACAAAAGGAAATAATACCTAAAACATTAACCTTATCCTGCAGCTTCTTCCTTCCCTCCCCTCTTCAAAATATAGTTTGTGCTTCTATTTTTTACCATTTATTACTTGTCTGATTTTTTGTTGACTTTTGGTACCAGCTTGAGTCGAATTTGCATCATCTAGCAATTTCTGATGACTGGCGAAAGCATGTCGATTCTGTTGTTACAGTGGGCTCTGCTTCTCATATTATCAGCAGTTCTGCTCGCGCATCCCCAAATCATGGCGCTGGCAGGAAGAAGGCTAAGTCTTCTGAGGTGGGGATTACCCCATCTTCAAATGCCGCCACTGGACTTAGTTTATTCTGGTGGAGAGGTGGAAGGGGTTCGCGTATGCTATTTAGTTGGAAGGTTTTACCTCATACTCTGGTTTCTAAGGCTGCCCGACAAGGTCTGAATATACCGGTATATAATTCTGTTTAAATTTGTTATCATTGTTTATGGAATTTATATTTACGCTGCTATGTTTCATATAAAATAGGTGGAGGCAAGAAGATACCTGGTGTACTATACCCCGAGATTGGAGAATATGCCAAGCGTACTAAATCTGCTTCTTGGAGAGCTGCAGTTGAGACATCAACAAGTGTGGAGCAGCTGGCACTCCAGGCATGTTTATTTTATTTGTGTTTTCCTTGTTTTAAATAGAAAAAAGATGTCTCTGCATGAAACAAGACAGTTTTTACTCCCAACTTTGTATTTCCTAGTGAAATTGTAAATTTACATGATGATGACTATAATTTTAAGAATATGATCTTCATCTTATTTCTTGAAACTAAATACTACATCTTACCATTGTCGCCTATCATATAGAAGTTTTCTCATCAATTTGTGAGGAAAAATGGAATCGATGATAGCTTTGCAATTCATGCTGTATTTAATGAAAGGAAATGCTCCTAAGTACTTTTTGTGTTTGCAGATCAGGGAGCTCGACGCAAATATTAGATGGAATGATATTAGGAAGTCTAACCTTATCATAGACACAGACATAAAAAAACCTGTCAAGTCATTTAAAAAGGTTATAATCCGTAGGAAATGCTCTGAGGGATCAGTGGTCAGGTATCTTTTGGATTTTGGCAAAAGAAGATTCATCCCTGATGTAGTTCTGAAACATGGAACCATGTTTGAAGACTCCTCAAATGAAAGGAAGAGATATTGGCTGGAAGAATCTCATGTGCCATTGCATCTCTTGAAATCCTTCGAGGAGAAAAGAGTTGCTCGTAAATCTAATAAGATGAATTCTGGGGAACTTCATGAGAGCAGGGGAATAATGAGGAAGCCTGTCGAGAAAAAAGGATTCGAATATCTCTTCTTGAAAGCTGAGAGACCAGAGATTTATCAGTGTGGGCATTGTAAGAAAAATGTTCTAGTCAGGTACAGCATTGTGTTTATTGTCTGTATGCTTTGAAGTCCCTGAGGACCTTGCAATACTATCAGCTTAATCTTTCCGTTTATGTGATGTTGCTTCTAGTTTCTAAGAAAGAAAACAGTCAGGTTAGCTAATTAGTGATTGTGCATATTTTAAATGACTTCTTTTGGCTGTATTTGCTAGAACATGTATGGACATTGGACGGTATTTTGCTTCATTCAAATGGTGTTGGAATGTATCCTTGCCTTACACTAATTTTCATTTATTCCGCTCATTAGTATTTTTAAATAACAATTCTAATGGTAAGCTGCTTATCTTGATTTGCAGGGAGGCTGTTAGCTGCCAGCATTGTAAAGGTATACACCTCAATTTGCTAAGGCTTTTCTATTGTGTTGGTCTTGGTATTTTCTTGTGACTGCTTACATTACCCCTAGGTTCTGGAAAAATGGTGTAGATTATTATTATTATTATTATTATTATTATTATTATTATTATCTAATAGGTGTCGATGTCTTAGAGAATAAGTTAGGATTTAATATTATTGTTTAATATTAGTAAGAGATCTTGTATTGTTGGACGTCTAGGGTTATGAGCCTTATTAAAAAGGGCTCTTCTGCTTTGTTATGGGATGGTTGATTTAGAATGAAAAAATGAATTAATTCTGAGTTTTATGTGTTTTACGAGAGGTATAACGAACATACTCTGTCTCCACATTGGATCAAGAACATGGTGCTCCTTCCAACTCGTACGCTTCCCCTACATCAGTTGGTATCAGCAGTCAGTACGATTCGCGATGTCGCCGGGACGACAAGATGCCGGAAACGAACAACGTGATGTAATCTTCTACGATCGGTTTCAACAGATTGACTATCGCTTTGAAGAGTTGGACGTGCGTTTCACGGATTGGTTTGCCGATCTTTCGATGGGGATCGAGGATTTATGTTTGACGCTTAACAACGTGGTCTGGGGTTTGCAAATGAACCGTGCCGCCGGCGACCGGGGTGTGCTTGGGGGAGTTCACGGAGGAAGTGGGGGTCGTGGTCCAGGCGGGGCGCCCCGTCGGCGATCTCCACAATCGCCGTCCGGCGATGCAGACGACGAGGAGACCATCTCGGAGGTTGATCCCTTCGGAGAGTGTCCGCCTCCGCCCGCCGAGACTGAGCTCGTTGTTGCGCACGACAACCAAGATGTGCGGCAACAAGGTGTAGTTTTTTGGGGAAGATGACGGACTATTGTACGACGGTCCGCCTATTTTTCGATGAAGAGCCACTGGTGACGGAGATATATTCATGCGACAATATGGGTCCCGCATGGGACGTCACAGAGGTTGAGCCTTCGAACGGGAAGCCATCGTTCAGACCTGATTTTCGGAGTATTTTGGCCAAAGTAGTTTTTGGGAGTCGAAGCCGAGAGTCAATAATTGGTGGGTCATTTTCCGATTGTCTATCGCGAAGTTTCCCAACAACGGGATGCTTGGCCGTAGTTATAGATTTGAGCACGGTGAACGATGTGGTATGTTTGGTGTTAATTCCGCTTGTTGGGTTATGCTTTGGGAGAGGTGTACATGTATCTTTGCAGTTGTACAACACTTGCTCAAGCTTATGTTTTCTATCGGGCTTGTTGGACGACATTCATCCTTCGTGTTCGACCGGGGGAAACGACGGGTGTTTCCTACCATGAGTTCGGCACCACACGCCGGCCACGAGAGCGCATCGACTTCGAGGGCGAAACCTTCCGAACCGGAGGAGAATGGTGTAGATTAGTATTTATTATTATTATTATTATTATTATTATTATTATTATTATTATTATTATTATTATTATCATCTAATAGGTGTCTTAGAGAATAAATTAGGATTTAATATTATTGTTTAATATTAGTAAGAGATCTTGTATTGTTGGACAAGTTAAGGTCTAGGGTTATGAGCCTTATTTAAATGGCTCTTCTGCTTTGTTATGGGATGGTTGATTTAGAATGAAAAAATGAATTAATTGTGAGTTTTATGTGTTTTACGAGAGAATATCTCGTTTACACGTTTTATCCTTCCCACTCGTACGCTTCCCTACATCAAAAAACTAACTTTTAACTGGATGGTAATGGATCTTCCGTGAACATGCAGTTTAGAATGATCAAGCCCTCAAAAAAACTAGTGACCTCTGGTAAAACGAAAAGCCATGATGGTTTGGTAACAAATAAATGAACAATTAGTTAAAAGAAATAGTGATAGTGCTAGTGGAATACATAGATAATAGCTATATACTCGGGAGTACCGATAATAGCTCTTACTACATAGCTGAATGTTAGGAAGTAAACTAAGTAAAGATAGTAACCTAATCTCCGAAACAACACTGTTGTAGTTATTTTTACCGAAGTTAAATCAAGAGATTCAATCCCCGAGTCGTATCGTAAGGAAGGTTAGCTGGATAAAATTGTGCAAATATTCAATACAACAACAACAACATACCCAGTATATTCCCAAACGGGTTGGGGTCTGGGGGTCAGTTGTACGCAGACCTTACCCTTGTAATTATACAAGGAGACTGTTTCCGTAGCGACCCAAGGTGCATTGCATCGTTTGGTATATTTTTTTTCTAGAGACTTCACTAATAGAAGAAACACTAGAATTTAATTGAGTCATTTTGATCTAGTCCATTATTAGCACTATGCCAGAAGAATTGTCAACAATGACTCTTCCATCTCCTTTTGCAATGGACATAGCAAATATTTAATCACAAAAAGATACACTGTAGTTCAATAATTTGGGTTTTTAATTATCAACTACTGATTCTTAAGAAAAGCAAATTCAAACACTCGATTCTAAACACGATTCAAATAGTAATAAAGATACTAGGGTATCAGGGATAATCGTTTCCGGTTATAAGTACATTTAACGGGCAATCGAATACTCGATTAAAGGACTGTAAGAACTACTCGTCTAGAATTTACTCTCAATAACTCTTCGACCTTCGTAACAAGAGAATAAACATGAACGAACAATTACCGAATCATTAACACATAGTCAATACCGTTACGAATAAGCCTATTCTAAATCAGCCTAGGTCGATCTATTTCTCTCCTTTCTGTTCTAAAAATCGATTAGCTAGATTAAGATGGTGATCAAACATCCAACCCTAAGATGAACACAACTCGCAAAGATTGAGCAATCAACATGCACATAAACGGAAACAAACCGGAACAATTATCCTCTAGCCCCTAGCAACGAATTTAGCCGCTGATCATGTATTCAACACCAAAAATCACATCATCATAAGCCATAGCATCCATAAATAAAACGAGAGAAGTACTTACTATTAATGTAAAGTTCAATGTGGGAAACAAGATGCAATCCAAATACAAAAGACAAATGTTGGAGTTTTTCACCCTCAAGATTGAATCCCTAATCAAAACTAAGAGAAAAGATGTTTTTCGTCGCGTCTAAAAGTAAAAGATCAGAATCTGCAATCGAATAATATGCCCTTCCCCCAAAAAATCATAAAATAGCTCGAAAAAGAAACGATTTTCGCGTCTATATATCAAGGTCGCGACTTCCATGTCATAAGCCGCGACTTGATCTCGCGAACTGCACGTTAAGCACTGAAAATTCCGCGGGTCGCAACCAAAGTCGCGAATCATCTCGCGGGTCGCGGAAAAAACTGGCCTCCGTTTCGTCACACTTCGATCCTTCAGCCTTCTTCGTCGTCTTCTGGGCAACGGATGTTCTTAACGATCATGGCCTTGGTTTAAGCAGTCCCACCCTCGACCTGTTGGGAATTCCGACCACACCGAAACTCCGCCCAAGATCTACTGAAAATAATAAAACTGGAGAACACAAAGTTTAACGTGGAAAACCCTCTGTTAACAAAGAGGGAAAAACCACCAGGGCAATAAGGCCGTAGAAAAATCCACTATGTAAAAAAAATTACAATCACACAATTTTTCTACACACTTATACCCAAATTACCCCACAGAATTTTCTATCCGTTAACCTTAACTCTCACCCTAAGGAATTTTTAACCAGAGATTAATTGTTAACACAATAACTCTGTGGGATGATTTAACATAAGAAGTAGCACCTTCTTATATAGGAAAAAACTCCCCCCCTCTCTCATCCCATACCGATGTGGGACAAAAGAGCAAAAAACTCAACAAACTCCACCTTGCGATTTTGGCCCATTTGACAGCCACTATTCACTTTGATGAAGTTTTTCACAGCTTTTGCTATCATGCTCCACCATAAAAGCATATCCACTCGGACTTGCATCCAAGCATTTCTTCGGCTCATGTCGAAATAACCTTGCTGAAATCTATGGTGCAACTTCCAC